GCCGCGTGGGGAGGGAGGCGGCGACGGGGCCGCTAGGGGCGGCGACGGGGCCGCGTAGGGGCGGCGACGGGGCCGCTAGGGGCGGCGACGGGGCCGCTAGGGGTGGCGACGGGGCCGCGTAGGGGCGGCGACGGGGCCGCGTAGGGGCGGCGACGGGGCCGCGTAGGGAGAGAGGCGGCGACGGGGCCACTAGGGGCGGCGACGGGGCCGCTAGGGGCGGCGACGGGGCCGCGTAGGGGCGGCGACGGGGCCGTTAGGGGCCGCGAGGGGCCTGGAAGGGCGGCGACGGGGCCGCTAGGGGCGGCACGAAGGGGTTTGATATTGTTACATGGAGGCGCGGCGAGGGGTGCATCGCCAAGGATACCTGGGATTCGCTAAGTGGCTCCGACGGGTATGAAGGTGGGTGAACATCGGAGTACCAGGGTCAACGGCGGAAACGTCGGGGCTATGCGGCGGAAAATAACTTCGGGACTGCTTCAACAACCATGATTTTCGGGGCTACATTTCTACGGTGGGAGACGGGTGAACTTCTGCTCTCCAGCTGTTTCAGCGGTTTACGGTGTACTTCGAAGCCCTCTGGGGAAATTCTTCGGCGAGATCTGCGGCGTTGATGCGGGCTAGGTTCCGTGAAATTCAGTCCCGGTAGACCCATAGTTCTGGGTTCTGCACAAAAAGCGCCTCCTGTTGGTGGGTTGCTAGTGTGGTTAATCGCAGGAAATAAAAATGGCGACGGGTGGGCACGCTAGATACACCGGTTCTTCAAGGGGATAACTTGCATGTGACCAAGACGTACGAGTATTTTTCGGCACCGACACTTACGGGTTTCAGCAGCAGTACTGGAGCTGGGTCTTTACAAGAGTTCGGCGGTGACGGCCGACAATTTCGTGACAACGGCGGAGTTGCAGCGGCGCTGGGTTAAGCGCGCGAAACTGCCGCGGTGCATTTCATGGCGGCAAAATCTGCAGAGTTTCAGGAGTACCAGCCGCAACACTGGTGATATGTATCGCAACAGATGGTGGGAGGAAGAACAGCTTTTTCGACTCTGCCCCGAAGTTTTCGGCGAGTCACGACAACGTCGCCGGAAGAGCTGACGTCATCGACAATTCCAGTTCGAGTTCGAAAAATTTTCGGTGGTCAGGGGGAGGAACAGCAGCTGTTTTTCGCCTCTACCCGGGAGTTTTCGGAGAATCGCGACAAACACATCGGCGAGTTACGACAAGACTGCCGGAAGTGCTGATGTCACAAGACCCTGATTATGGGTCCGATGGGTTCAAGTAAAGTAAAGTTTTCGGTTGTTACTCAACCCCACCTTCTCGACGATCGTCGCAACCGCGCTTCAAACGACTTCGCGATTTCGCAGCGACATTTCGATGCCGAGCAAAAACGACCCAGGGTCACGACCGAAGGAGTTTCGGATGGTTCTGCAACGGCTCAGATCCGACAAAAGGAAAACACGTGATATGCGGGTGGCAGCTGCTGACCGCTGACAATGCTGCAGAATTGAGGAATTTGATTCTGCCACTGCATCGAGACAATGGACGGGATTTCGGACTGCAGATGCTGCCAGCTGGGGATGCTGCTGCAAGAGTCGCAACAAAAGGGCAACAAGAAGGTTTTTCTCAGTACGGGATTTCTTCGACGGGCTTCGCCGGAGTTTACCCAGAGTATTTTTCAGTGTTTTCAGCAGCGGTATTTCACCACCGACAACGTTCTCGTCTGTGCAGCCGCTCACATTTCGACGGGGTTCATACACTCGGTATGATTTCCTACCCTCGACGTACAGGGTGGTTTGTGGTTTCGTGCCCTAGCAGCAGTGCAGACTTTTCGTGGGTGGTATTTTCAGAGGGGGGGGAGAGAGTGCTATCGCACTATATTCCCTTGTCAGTTCCTGACAGCTTCGCCTGACAGACTCAGCATGACGGACGCTCGCGATGGTTTTATCAACATCAACGGTTTACGATTGACCGACATCTGACACCGTGTCAGCATCCCGCCGACTTCGCCAGCGTTCGTACCGACCGATTTACATCCGCGGCATCAACGACTCCCATTCATCCGCGGAGTTCAGTTCGACAGTTCAACGACAACCATTCGATCAGGATCGACGGCTGACCTTCCAACTCTTTTCAAATTTGCCAAGTCAACTGGTCAGCCTCGCGTCAACTCGAAAGTCAACATGCTTCCGCGCCGTCAGATCAGTTTCGACCGAGATCTGCAGTTTTCACGCTACTGCAAGACTCGCCTACATATAAGGGCACCTTATTTAGAAGGTGGGAGAGTGTAATGAATACGAATTCATTACCGTAGAGGCTGCTCCTAGCGAGGACAACCCCGAACATTTCGCGTCAGTTTCGAGGTTCGGCCTACACTTCAGACCGAACCACTGCCGAGTAGCCCCGCACCAATCGAGACACTTCCAACCAATCCACGTCCCGAGGTCCTCGCCTACCACGGTTTCGACCCTAAAAATGCATGCCTCTTTATCATTCTCGACATTCTGTATTCGACATCCTTTTTATAAAGTCTTCCGCGCACTCCTCTTAGTACAACTCATAACAAACAGGCAGAACTGTAACACCCTCTTACTTAGCGGGAACCTCGCGCAGTGGTGGTTAGGAACAAGCTGGGCATTTGTTTACCGCGAAGGCGACGCGAGGTTGCCTCGGATTCGGTCCGAGCCTGCGTTCCGAAATATTGGTTTGATACACGTTGGGGTAGAAGCTCGGTTGAGAAACAAATTCCTCACATCCACTGACAGGGTTACAGCTTGTGAAAAAATGAGGAGCGTGAAGAAAGGAGGGGTTTCACTAGCAGTAGTTGGGATACATATAGCAAACCCTAACAGGGTTGTACTCGCTATAGAGCACCCCACTACAGGCTAGATAATAACATTCTGACACACCCCCATAGCCAAAGTGGGGTGTAATCAGCACAATGAGCAGGAGTTCACAATAATAAGCAAAGCTAGAGGTAATCACAGCGGGCAAGTGAGGAGGAGGAGGAACTGTGGAAGGAGAGAAGATAGGAGGCAACGACTGAAGCTGCAGAGGCACGGGCACAGGAGCGGCTGACTCAATGGCTACCGAAGCAAGGGCGACGGACTACTGGAGTGACTGGCTCCGCGGCTAAGACGAGCGGCAGGAGCAACGGACCCACTGGCGACTGGTGCAACAGGCTCACTGGCTACCGAAGCAAGGGCGACGGACTACAGGCGCTGCAGGCGACACGACAGCTACCTCCACACGACCTCCTCCAACTGACCCACACCCTTGACACACACCCTAACTGCTTCACCCCTAACTCCACTCCCATGTCACCCCCTCGTACCACTCCGACGGCTCCAACACAACACATCCACCCCCCTCAGCGGCAGCTGCAGCACTGGGAGACGGAGGAGGAGGAGGAGCAGGGGACGGCGCACAGAAACTGCACCCCCATACCCCCCACCCCCAAACCCTAATTCAGGAGAACGGGCAGCAGCAGGGGTGGGGCGCCGTCAGAAGCATGGGGGACAGCGGGCAGCTCAGGGGCAGAGAGGAACGGGCCGCCCACGGGCCTGGGACAGCCAGACAAACCGCGCGCAGGCGGCCCGAGCCGCCCACGGGCCTGGGACAGCCAGACAAACCGCGCGCAGGCGGCCCGAGCCGCGCGCGAGCCTGGCGCAGCCCGTACGGGCCGCGCGCGGGCCTGGCGCAGCCCGTACGGGCCGCGCGCGGGCCGGGCGCAGCCCGTACGGGCCGCGCTCGGGGCTAGCGCAGCCCGCGCTGGCCGGGACGGGCGACCGGGGACAACGGGCTGGTCCCCGTCGCCCGTCGAAGCGCCCCCCGGGGGCGACGCGCGGACCAACGGGGCAGAAAGCCGCCGCGCGCCTCGGGGCGCACGGCGGGCAGAGAACCGCCGCACGCCCCGGGGCGCACGGCGGGAAGAAAAACCCGTCGCACACCACGGGGCGTGCAACACACAGAGTGGCAGTGGCAGCGGAAGCAGTGAGGTGGTGGGCCCATACACAGGAACGACCCAGGAGGGTCGACCTGCTCTGATAGCATGTGAAAAAATGAGGAGCGTGAAGAAAGGAGGGGTTTCACTAGCAGTAGTTGGGATACATATAGCAAACCCTAACAGGGTTGTACTCGCTATAGAGCACCCCACTACAGGCTATATAATAACATTCTGACACAGCTTTCCCGCGCAGCTGCACGCCGTCTTTGCAACGGCCTCTGGAGACTGCGTTTGCGAAGAGCCTTGAGTTTCGCAAGAAAAACGAAAGTAATGGCGAGAATTGTTTCTCAACGTTTGGTGGCGTAACCGTGACGGACAGAATTCTCGCCACTGCCGCGACTTTCGCGAGGCCAGCGTGCCTAGGTGGGGCGACATTCGCGCGAGTCGCACCGCGCCGAACCCTCTGTGCCTCCAGGAAGCCTGCTTGCCTCCAGTACGTATTTCAGGCACCTCAATTTTAGGACGCGGCACCTCAAGCAATTTTGCACGATTGATCGCAGGATCGCTGATTCAACCGTACTGAAACCCTGCTAAAAGTGTTTAAATCTTTTGAAACCATTTTAAACTCCTAAAACATTCCATCCTGCTCAGGATCGATCGCAGGATCGGTGCTAGAGGTGCCGCGTCCTTCTTCTCATGCACTACAAGTTCATTTCAGCTAGTCTACAGCTCTACTTTCTCTGAAGCTGCTCTCCTGCCTCACACTGATCCAGAGACATTCAAAGCCTCCTCTCGTGCTCTCGAGTAGTGTTGATTCGAAACGCTTACAGCTCCCGTTCTGAAAACAGTGCGAGCTTAGCCTATCGCGGATTCGCGGACGAGCACTCGCTCGTCATGGACAGCTGGATGGCCGAGCCACCAGTTCACACCGGTTTCTCGTGCGATTCGCTGGAAAAATTGACCAGCGAAGGCCAATGCGATGGCTCCGACCCGAGCAAGCTAGAAGGTAACAGTCGAGTACTTGACGACCCGAGCTATAGTTACGGCCCCACGCGAGTAACATGACCCTAGGACTTCGACCGCATTTCGACTACTCTTTTCCCGCCTTCACGAGACCCCCTGTCATGCCAAGTAGGCGCGAGAGCGAGTTAGGGTTAGCACGCGGGTGCCAACCGTTTCCCGCGCGCGTGTCGTGCTGGCAGGTCTCGTCACGGCGTCGTGGTACGCGCCGTCCGAGACGTCCTCCGCGCCAACCCAGGCCACGCCGCTCCGCGTTGCCCTCGTCGCCTTGTCCGACGCCTCCCATTCGTCCGTCGCTTCGACGCTCTCCGCCTCCGGCGGCGACAATGCTGCTGCCGTCGCGAAACCGTCGCCGGTCGCTGCAGTTAACGCGTCCCCCGCCGCCCGAGGCGCTGCTAGCAGAGCTATTGCTCCGCGCGCGGTGCCGCGGCCGGTAGTGATGAACGCGTACGACGGCGTGCTGGACCCCGACCTGTTCGAGACCGCCGACGAGTTGGGGCGCGGCGGGTTTGGCACGGTGGTGGCGATGCGGCGAGTGGAAAGCGGCGAGGTGGTGGCGGTGAAGCGCGTGGCGCGCAAGCAGATGGTGGCGGCGGCGAACGAGGCGATGGTGGCAGCGTCGCTGAGCGAGTGCCCGGGCGTGCTGGGCGTGCGCGAGGTGCATCTGGCCGACCACCACGCGTACCTGCTCTCCGACGTCTGCTCTGGCGGCGACCTCCGCGCCCTCCTGCAGCGCCGCGCCGCTGCCGCCGCAACCACGCCCGCGGAGAATGGCAAGGGCAGGCGGTGGTGGGGGAAGGCGAGCGGCGAGGACGGGCGGGGAGGGGGAATGGCGGAGGCGGAGGCGCTGGAAGTGGTCAAGCACGTGGGCGACGCCGTGGCGTTCTGCCACGAGCGAGGCGTGGTGCACTGCGACATCAAGCCCGACAACATCCTCTTCGCCTCGCCCCTCTCCAACATGGAACCCCCGCCTTGCCAACCCGCCGCTAGCCCCGCTGCGCCTGCGCGCCCCTCTCCTGCTGCCCGCCTCTGCGCGCCCGTCTCCTCGGCTCGCGCCTCCCCCCGGCTGGCCGCGGGGGCAGTGCGGCTGGCGGACTTTGGGTTGGCGCAGGTGGTGGCGGAGGGGCAGCGCGCGTGCCGCACTCCCGCAGGCACGCCCGGGTACATGGCGCCTGAGGTGGAGGCCCTCTGCCGCCCTCGCTGCCCGCCCGCCCCTGGCGCCGCGAAGCAGCGAAGAGGAGCCCCGGCGAGAGCAGCAGGGGGAGAGGCAGAGGCAGGCGGGTATGGGCGGGCAGCGGACGTGTGGTCGCTGGGGGTGACGCTGTTCGAGATGATCGCAGGCGAGCGGCCGTACGCGGGGGAGGCGCCTCAGCAGGGCGAGTGGCGCGCGCGCATGGAGGGGGCAGCGTGGGAGGGCATGTCGGAGGAGTGCCGCGCGCTGGTGAGCGGCATGCTGAGAGTGCGCGCGGAGGAGAGGCTCACCATGGCGCACGTGTGCCACCACCCCGCCATGATCCGCGCCTTCGGGGGCAGCGGGACGCGCAGTAGGAAGGGGTGGTGGTGAGCGTGATGCGGTCAGGAGGAGGAAGCAGGGAAGGGTGTGGTGAACAGCAGGGGGAATGCAGGTGGCTTGGCGTGGCGGTGGGGGGATACAAGGGAGAGTGGGATGGTATGGTGGAGCACCACTTTTTGCACCCTGCCTGTCAGGGAGTTTGGGATGCTGGGTGGATTCGGTGGATGGAAGGGGATGGGTGCACGTCACCTTGCTGCGTCGTTTCCTGCTCGCTCACTCTTGCTCTCTCTGCTCTTTCAAGGCTTGGGGGCTGGTGTGCATGAGGCTGCTGATGCTCGCACACGTTAGCTCGGTTTTAGCTCGATTTCTATTCGCATATGTTTAGCTCAATCAATGCAATGTGCTATGATATGTTCAAATTGGTGCAGCGCAGTGGGATTTGTTCCTTAAAGAGTCGGACATATGAATGCAGCAATGCAACGGAGGGAAAGAACATGTACCGTCCATAGGTAATGATCACAGAAACCCACTGCAGTGAACATGCATGGAACACAGAGTGACATTCTGCAAGTAGCACCACACAATAAAGTAGCACGCTGCTGAATCGCCTCCACGATGCCGGGCGGACAACCTGCCTATGGCCGTGGGTGCAAGAGCGTGTGTGCTATCGTGTGCGACTACCGTAGCTTGCACCTCCTGGGCACCAGGTTGCCATTGCATGGTCTTGTACCGTACATGCTTTGGCATCCAAATGCGTGCTGTTCTGTCCCATTCCAATTGGTCAAACATGCTATCAAGAAGGACCTGGGCGCTATCAATGACTGGTACCGATAATGATTCTCACCCCATTTACAGGGTTACATAGCGCGGATTACGGCAAAGAACAGCCCATGGAAGAAAATCATTCCGTTAAAGGCCACACCCCGAATTACACAACGAAGTCAATGAAAAAATTGTAGGTTCGGAAAACCCCAGAAGGAGGTTCGGTGGGAAAATCGAGAACCAATCGCGTCAAAAACCCACTCAAAACTTTAGACCAATCACATGAAAGTGGTGACAGTTTTGGGGCCGACACGGTAATTTTGGATGTGTCCTTTAAACACAAACATCCCTGCTTGAATGACACTATCTCAAGTTCTGTACAACCTCCAGCAGCATTGCCATGACAGCTGAGTGCTGCCGCAGGTGCGGGAGGAGGAGCGCCAGCAGCAGCGGCAGCGGGAGGGGCGGGGAGAGTGGTGCAGGAGTGGAAGCGGCAGAGGCAGGTGGGGAGCACGAGGCCATAGCCGTGTGCAGGGCGCGGCCCAGAGAGAGTGGAGAGGGGAAGGCAAACGCAAGGAGGAAGAGTGGGAAGAGCTGACTGCCTGGTTGCTCCTGCGTGGTATCTGCCAATGGCCTGCTCATGCTGCCTGATGCTTCTGCTGCTGTTGCTGCCCCCGCCAAGTCTGATGCCTGCTGCTCCTGTTGCCGCCACAGGAGCAGGGCCCGGCGCGAGTAGTCTTCCAGGTGTTGGCGCAGGAGGGGCGAGGTTGAGTGAGAGCGGGTGCGGTGAGCGGGTGCAAGCAGGTGACGGTGGAGGGTGGAGCAGAGGGAGCGGAGAAACAGCGGGCTCACGATGGGCGATTGGGGAGGGCTGGCACGGTGGGAAAGGGTGGGCGAGGAGAGTGCACGGAGCGATGGAATGAAGGCTTCCAACACCTGGGATGACGTAATCAGGGCGAGGTGTGGGAAGGTGGGGGGTGGGGGCAGGCACGGGTGGATTAAAGGAGAACAACCCGTAACTTTTCAAACGGGCCCAGACAGTTCAGAAGGGGAGAAGTGAAGTGTGACGGGGAGAAGCGTGGGACGGAAAGGAGTGACATTGAGGCAAAAGCACAGGGCCACGCATGCTCGGAGCCCGTGCCCTGGGCCCTGAAAGCTGAGAAACGACCAGAGCCCACGTGCTGCCATACGCCACTGTTTCGCTGCCTTTGGTCCAATTCCATCGAGGCTACGGCTCAAGGTGCCTGCGATGGAATTCCATCGTGTTGCCATACGCCACTGTTACGGTGCTTGATGTGCCAGCGATGCCACAACTCGCCCCTTGACCCTCGGCTTTGCAAGGCTGTGTGGAGGGAAATGAAGTTGCGGGTGAGAGGCAGGAGGAGGTCACCTGGAAGGAGGAGACGAGGCAGGGCAGTGCGGAGCCACAGGTGGTGTGCGAGTGATGCAGCGAGCGCACGGCCTGGCAGGTGGTGGCGAGAGAGAGGAGTACCTGGCGGGGGGAGGTGGGGGCAGAGAGAGGGCACGTGGGAGAATGAATGTTGTACAAGTAAGCCCACGCACATCTGATCACCGCCACAGTAGTGGAATTGAGTTGATAGAATCCAGGCACACACAAGGAGCAGTGTGGTGTGGCGTGGTGCAATGTGGTGTGGAGTGCTCACCTCCAGCAGCTCCGGCTGCTCCGCTGCGTGCGCCATGAGCAGCGCTGCCTGGCAGACCGATGAGAAGCCCTCATGACTGCATGTGGATGGGGGAGGGAGGGAGGGCAGTGAGACCAAAGGCCGGTGGGCGGAAGTGTTAGAATCAGCCCCATCATGTATCATACACACACTCGATGGGACTTGGTTAGCTATTAACATCCGGAATCATCTTGGGTGTATAGCTAGTAATTATCCTAAATTAAAGGGTTCAGTCAAACCTAGGCTCCGACATTGTGCCCCAAAATGGTTGGGTTCACAGTAATTTGAGGCCCAATAATGTTGGGGACCTAGATGATTGGGCTCCTCAATGATTGTGGACCCCAACTTGTTGCGGGGACCAATGATTGAGCCACGCCCATTGCCCAACTACTTTCCATCTCCTCACCTATGTATCCCCCCATTTTTCTTGATCAATCTATCATTCAGTTTTCTCACAAGAAGTAGGACATATGGACGTGTATGAAGAGCAAACTGGGTGAGAGCAGAGAGAGGCTGTGAATATGAGTGATGGATGGAGGCGTGGTGTGATGAGAGAGGAGTGGCAGCGTGGTGGAGCGGTGCAGAACTAGGGGTGCAGCGGGTGCGGGGAAGGAGAGAACCTGCCCACCTTGAGGTTGCATGCGGTTGAACAGCGGAGCGCGGCAGGGGGCGGCAGAAGAGGCGGTGGAAGGCGGATAGGACGGGGTCGGCCACTGGCAGGGCGGCTGCCATGCTCCGCGCTGAGACGGGCGGCAACTGGCCGAGCGAGGCCGAGGGGAATGTGTGGAGGGACGTGTGTGAGATGACGGGTGTGAGGTTGGGTGAACGAGACAGGGGGGGGAAAGAGGTGGGTGTGCAGAGTGTATAGGGGTGCGTGGTCATGGAAGGTAGGAGGGGCATGGAGAATAAGTGAGGGAAAGGGGAGTATGCAGGAGAGAGGGGATGGAGGGAGAGATGGCCAGGGATGCACGGGACGGCAAAGGGCGGGGAAAGAAGGGGGAAGGATGATGGGGGAGTGGGGGAAGGGATGATGGGGGAAGGGATGATGGGGGAAGGGATGATGGGGGAGTGGGGGAAGGGATGATGGGGAAGTGGGGGAAGGGATGATGGGGGAGTGGGGGAAGGGATGATGGGGGAGTGGGGAAGGGATGATGGGGGAGTGGGGGAAGGGATGATGGGGGAGTGGGGGAAGCGATGATGGGGGAGTGGGGGAAAGGAAGGATTGAGAGGGAATTGCAGAATGAGAGAAAGCGGGAGGCAATGAGAAGGTGATGAGAGCAGTTGCCAATGCATGGAAGACAGCACTAGCTGGATGCAAGAGGGCCATGGCTGGATGCAAGAGGGCCATGGCTGGATGCAAGAGGGCCATGGCTGTGTTGCAAGAGGGCCATGGCTGGATGCAAGAGGTGTTAGTGTTAGCCTTCAATCTCACACTTTGTACTTTGTATTTTCTATATCTTAGAGTAGTGTAGTTTGCACATTGTGTTTGGTTGGGTGTACACCTACATCCCAACCAAACCCAAATGTAATCTCCAAGCAATCTCCAACCCACCAATTGGAGATTGCCTTGGGATTACCCCCAGTCCCTAGGGATTGCCTCCGATTCTCTTCCCCATCCATTCCCTCCCCTTCTTGGGTGTACTTAAAGAGCTTCAAGCTCATTACTAATGCATCGCTTCTAAGCCTAAGTTCTCACATGGTATCAGAGCCCGTCAACCGCACACGCGGATCGTGATCCTCTTATCTCTGCGGATGTTCATCCCGCAAACCTTGGCGAAACCACCTTCAATCTCGTCGCCGGTGATTCGCGACATTCGTGGACGGAAATTCTCCCGCACCACTTTCCCGTCACTTTCGACGACATCTACTAGTTCACTGGTAAGCGCATCGTCGGCGCTATAACCTATCGCTCGTTTTTTCGTCAACGTCATCGCGTCATTTCTTCTTCTCGTCGGGCCGCCGCCCGTCGACCTGCAGCTTCTCGTCGGGCCGCCGCCCGTCGCCCCGCATCTTCTCGTCGGGCCGCCGCCCGTCGCCCCGCAGCTTCTCGTCGGGCCGCCGCCCGTCGCCCTGCAGCTTCTCGTCGGGCCGCCGCCCGTCGCCCTGCAGCTTCACCTTCGGGCTGCCGCCCCGCTCCGCATCTGCACTCCTACCCCCATTCCCCCCCACCTTCCCGCAGCTGAACAGGTGCAGCAGCGCAGCCGAGCAGCCGTGTAGCCGCGAAGCCGAGCAGCAGCGTAGCCGCGAAGCTGAGGGTGGTGTGTGGGGGGGTGTGTGGGATTAGAGTTAGTACTACGGAAATCGGCCGATTCAACCTAATTTCGACGGCCTGAAAAATCTCTCTACAAGGCATTCCAACGCGGGCGACATTGACGATTTCTCCTATTCGGACCCGTCGAATTTCGGAATCGCCGAAGTGACTATCGGTGACTTAAGAGCGGCGCTCCGCGCAAGACATTAAGGGGCCTTCATCATGGCCTACTCCTCGTCCACCATGGCCAACCCCATCACCCCGCTCCGCCTTGAAGCTGATGGCTCTAGCTCCAACTTCAAGGCATGGAGCTACGGGGTTGACAAGCACCTCCTGAGTCGTGACGTGCAGGGATT